CTACTGCCGCCCGATCTGAAGTCACACATCCCCACATGCCTGAGTATTTTGCCCCCATTTTACAGTGGAGGGAACTGAGGAGGGCCGACTCCAGGTCTCCTGCCTCCTTCTGCTGGGGCCTGGGCTCCGGGGGAGGACCCCGGCTCAGGGAGACTAGCTCCGAACACAGCCCTCCCCCACTCATCAGCCACAGCCCAGCCCACCGCAGGCAGCCCTGGCCTTTGCAGGAGCATCCGAAGGGCCTGGGGCTGGGGCTGGACTGCACCTCCCTCCCCGCAAACCCCGAAAGCCTAGCCACCCCCACCCCAGTGTGGGAAGGGTCTGTGCCGGCCGCCGGGCCAGGGGAGCCAGAAATCTGTTCTCCCCCAACCGCAGCAAGCCATGGACTGGCCTAGACTCCACTGGGCGCGCATGACATAATGAGGAGGGAGCCGGGCCAGAATTATGTAAAGTCTTTAGGGAGTAATAGCGGCAGCAGTTCTCAGAAAGAGGGGGGGGGGGGGGGGGGGGGAGAGACCCCACCCACCCAGGCCAGGTTTTCCCCAGAGCCTGCCTGGTCGTCAGCGTCAACACCCCTCCCTCCATGACCCAAGCCCCAAGCCCCAAGGCCCAAGTGCAGCTGGACGAGACCCCTCCTCGCCGCTCAGTTCTGTTCTCAGGCCTGTACCAGGCCAGGCGGGAGGAGGCGATGACATTATCTCACCTCCCTCCTCGTCAGACCTCCTCAGCACCCTGGCAGCCCCTCCAGTCTTCACAATTCAACAGCCTCCTCCCTCTGCCGCTCCTGCCCCTCACCAGTCTCCCCTCCACGCCTCCGCCAGGGGGATCCTTGCTGAAAAGCCCCCGGGGAGTCTCCGACCCACTGAAAATCCAGCCCCTTTACGGGGACCCACAAGGGTGCGTGATCCGGTGCCTGCTGGCCATCCCACCTCCTGCCCCTCCCCACAGCCCTCCAGCCAGCCAGCCCCCTTGCTGCTCCTCTCGAACACATCCCGCACACCGGAGCCTCAGGACCTTTGCACTGGCTGTTCCCTCTCACCGGAGAATGCTTTGCCCAGAGCTTCCCCTAGTGACTTATTGCAAGTGTCACCTCCTCAGAGAAGCCTCCTGGCCATGCTGTCCAATGTCTTACTAGCCTCCCCCATCCAGCACCACCCAGCCCCTGCTCCACTGTCCTCAGAGCTCTTCTCCAATTGTCTTATTTGCTACCGTTTTTATTGTCTGTCTGTCTTCACCGAAGGTGCGCTCCATGCGGGCAGGACCTGACCTGTCTTATTCACCGCCGTGATCTCCATCCAGCACTAGCCCATCCCGGACTCCCAGTAAATGACCAATCAGTCAAGTTGACTAAATGCATCAATTCGCTTGAGAGGGAGGTAGGAGTGACATGAAGAGCATGAGATTCAGGGAGGTGAAGAGACTTGCCCCAAGGCACAGCTGGTCAGAACAGGGCAGAGGTTCGGCCCCGGGCTCTGATTCCACAGCCACCGCCCGTAGCCCCTCTGCTCCCCACCGGTGGGGTCTCTCCCTCCACTCCCTGGTCTCTGAGCTCCCACCCACCCATCCCCAGCCTCGGGGCGACCATCACATATTCTGACTTGCTGTGTGACAAAGGGAAACACCCTGTCCCTCTCTGGGCCAGGACTAGGTGACCTGCAAGGCCCTGTTCTGTTCTGTCTCCCTAGGAAGTGTCAGTAACTTACATTCATTTAGAATGAATTTAGAGCTTATGATGTGCTGGACGCTGTTCTAACAACCTACCATGCATTGTCTCAATCCTCACAACCATCCCATGAGGTAGGAACTATTATTATCATCCCCATTTTACAGGTCCGAAAACTGAGTCCCAAGGTCACACAGTGACGCAGTTCAAACCCAGGCAGGACTCAAACCCAGGCTGACCAACCCAGAAGTCTTGGTCTCAGCCCGTCTACCCACCCCTCGCTGCTCCCCGACACCAGTCCCTTTCCTGGGGAATGAGTGTGTGGAGAGAAGCCCACAGAGCCAAAGGTCAGGGCCCATCCCCCCCAGCTCCACTTCCAAATGCCCTTGAGGGAGGAGGGGTTCCCCAAGGGTCACCTTTAAGCTGATACTGGAAGGTGGGGAGCCCTCAGGAGCACCCAAGGCTCAAACCACAGCGAGAGGGGCAGAAATGGCCAGATCTGGTCAGGGGAGTGAGTACGGGATAGGGGACCCCGTGACCCAGGCCCCTGAAAGGAAACACAGCCAGTCGTCTCAGCAGGCTCCGCATAGAGCGGGAGCCCGGCACCTGCCTATGGCTGGGGGCCAGGAGCTCCTAGGCCTGCAGCATCCAGAGAGGAAAGCAGAAAAGGGAAAAGAGTGGGAGAAAAAGGAACTGGCCAGAAAGCCCTTTCTATAAGC